TCAAATGACTGAATGTGCACACATTAATGGAAATACAATATACGCTACTTTTCAAAAGTTTGAGAACAGCCCAGTTTTTCCAGTTATTTATTCCAGTTCAAGTCGTTCAAGTCCAATGAACAGCTTGAAATAATACAAAGGGAACTGTGAGAGTTTTAAAACAAAGGTAAGGTTACCCAAGGGTGGGATCTAAAACCTGCAGGACACCGGCCCTTGAGGCCTGGAGTTCGACACCCCTTAACAATTTAAAATCTGCTCTGCAGCAATGGAGGTTGATTAAGCCTTGAAAGATGGTGCTACTAATTCCTACAGGTGTTCCAACTTTTCTAGATTACTTCCAGCCCCCTCTGTCTGCATAAAGCAGTGTTGAACACACTGTGGTACCATACCTTCGTGAGCATCAGTTGAACAGTATTGTACTGCAGAAAGTAGAGTGTTGCTACAGAAATGGCAAGAAACAGACAATTAACAGTGGAGGAGAGACAGGCCATCATAACATAATGTAGGTCTGTCCTACAGAGAACCTGCAAAGAAAGTCAAGGTGTCAGTGAGTCCAGTTTCCTTCACCATCAAAGGCTCCTTGAACCAGAACAGCTACCACAGCATTCTGCAGCACCATGCAGGATCCTCTGGTATGGACCTAGTTGGTCAGGGCTTCATCCTACAGCAGGATAAAGACCCCAAACAGTCCAAGCTGTGCCAGAACCACCTCAGGAAAGAAGAACAAGATGGTGAGCTTGGAAACATGGAGGTCCAGCACAGTCTGTTTGCTTAGCCTGGCAGGGCGAAGGATACTGTCTGAACTATGGACACGCACACACACATACACTTACACTGATAAGCACTCACTCATCCCCCCTCCCCTTCCAAAGCCTTCGATGCTTGTTGCATCCTGGGAACACGAGGCGGGTCTGGGCCCGCGCTGGAGAGTCGGTGCAGTGGCAGGATGGCTGCTGTGTTGCCTGGGATTACTCCTCATCCCCTACCCACCTCTGTTGCTGGTCACGTGCTCCATAATGTTGTGCTGTGAACATTTATGTGCTTTCTGTGCAGAGGAGTTTTTTTGTTTCCTGTTCTCATGCTGTCCTCCTGTAGCCCAGCATGAGTAGAGGTCTCTTTTTTTCCTCTTGTACTTTCCCATTGTAGTGTACATTTCACGGTTTTTTTCTGTAATGCAACCGTTCTCTGACTTGTATCCCCATGTGATGTCTGTGTTGTGTGTGTAAGGTCGGGGGGCGGGTTCATTCCACTGCAGGGCAACCTGCCACTGCATGTGGCGAATAAAATTTGAACTTGAACTGAACTTGAACTAAATTGCATAATTTTCAATAAAAACTGGAAAAATTGGGGTTTTCTAAAACTTTTGACCGGTAGTGTATAAGGCAGTGAAAGTTTGTACAATTCTAATTAGCTTGAAATTGATATTTGGTATGACCACCTTTATTCTTCAACCTCACCTGAACTCTGTTAGGTGAGCTTTCTTGTAATTTCTTTAAGTAGTCTCCAAGAATAGTTTTCTGGGCTTATTGAAGTTCTTCTTTGAATGTTGGCTGCCTTTTGTTCTCTCTGTCAAGACGATCCCACACTGCTTCAGCAATGTTCATCATATTGTGTACCATGCATTATGAAACATTATTCTTTGAACCATAACATACTAAACCCCTCCTGATTCAACAAAGAAATTTCTCAAGCGATTCACTATGTGTCTTATTACTCTCGCTACCTGGTCATCGTCTTAGCACGATTGAGGTGGCTGAACAAACACTCACTGTTTCTGTGCATGCAGTCTATCTTGTATTGCATCAGTCTGGATGCAGTGAAAAGCTGCTATGATGTAACTGACAGTAATAACTCCAGACTGGTAGAGGAGTGAGTGAAGGAGATGCTAAAAAAGAAAAGAGAAACATGGAGATTGAGGGGTTAGTTACGGAAAGAAAAAGTAACAGTAAGCAACAAAGTAGAACAAAGAAGAAAAATCAATAAAAAAAACTGCAGAGAAAATCCCATGAGGATTGACATAGAATCACTTTTCACTCCAGGGTACATTTTTGTAACCCAAAAAGAATAAACAGATTTTCCTGTGCTGTTTATCAGTCCATAAACTTAAACTGATGATGATGTTGGTTATTTACAATGGGTAAAGTAATACTCATGGTGTTTACTCACAGCAGCCATGTGACACCAGATTGGCTGCGTGCAGTTTTGTCAGGGTAGAGAGCCGTTAGCATATCATCCTGCAAACCTTGAGTGTAGATCTGTAGAAGACTGCATTCGATTCCTAAGGGCTGACAGGGACGCCTACTTCACTGCCTTTCTCTAAAACCACCCATGGTTTTAGAGAAAGGCAGTGACTTTGCTTCCACTGTCAGAGGCCATAAGATGATTTGCTGATTCTGTACTGTAATAAGTTCTGAAACCCAACTTAAACCCTTAAACTAAACATTTCCTCTACAGAAGATCAGTTAGCTGTTTTGCAACTACTCTTTCAAGAACATTTGGGTTAAAAGGAACTTCATAGATTGGCGTATAATTAGTTCAGACAGCTGGATCAAGCTGTTTAATTATTCCCACTAGGGGTGGGCGATATAAATGATATACGATAGAAACGATATAAATTTGGCCAACGATAGAGATTTTGACTATATCGCGATAGCGCATGTTGATGATGTCATCAAGCTGCGCCTGTTTTGGTCAAAAGCATGGCAGCGGCTACAACCATTATCATCTACAAATTATGGCGGGCGACAGTCATAGCAAAGAGATGAAGCACTTTTGAAATATGGGGAAAGCCAAAAACTGCGCTTCCTCCACTTCTGTAACATTGATTCATTAATGTTGAATTCTCTCGCAGCTGCTTTATTCCCATGTTGTTGCAGCATATTAATGACTAACCTCATATTGTGGATGGATTATCTCAGTTGTTCTCCTGACTGAAGTTTGGCCCGTGTACAGCATCCTGCTATGCGACTGCATTTGTCCCTGACCACCAGAATCCCTCACGTTAACTTTTATCGAGTGGAAAAAAGTTGGTGTTCATCCTCCAGCTTCACTGTGTTTATGTTATGCTAATATAGCTGTGTCACTAGCGATCACGTAGCACAACATTATATACCAGCTAGCCCAGCTTCAGTAACCCTACAAACGCCACTGCTGTTTAGTTTTCTGTCTTCATTTATGTTGGAAGTGACAGCAGAGCTGTACGTTTGAATTTTCTCAGAAATCTCTCAGTCAGAACATGCTACATCATGTTTAGGTGGAAGCTAGCGAGCTAACTTCCTGCTAACTTCTAACTCTGTTAAATTTAATAAATCCTGTTTTCATGGGTGCCTGGCGTAATTGTTTCACCTGGTAAAGCAGCAACGCTGATGATTTTATTAAAGATGAAAGAATTTAGACCGGGGAGCACGGTGGCACGGTGGTTAGAACTGTTGCCGCACAGCAAGAAGGTCCTGAGTTCAATTCCTCCATCAGGCCGGGGTCTTTCTGTGTGGAGTTTGCATGTTCTCCCCGTGTTTGCGTGGGTTCCCTCCGGGTACTCCGGCTTCCTCCCACCGTCCAAAGACATGCAGCTTGTGGGGATAGGTTAATTGATTAATCTAAATTGTCACTAGGTGTGAATGTGAGTGTGAATGGTTGTCTGTCCCTGTGTGTTGGCCCTGCGACAGACTGGCGACCTGTCCAGGGTGTACCCCGCCTTTCGCCCTATGACAGCTGGGATAGGCTCCAGCGCCCCCCGCGACCCTGAAAAGGATAAGCGGAAGCGAATGAATGGATGGATGGATGGAGAATTTAGACCGTTTTTAACTCTCAGTGTTCGTTTGACTTTGGGACCTGAAGTGGACGGAGTTTAGGACCCAGATACTCCGTGAAGCTCCTGACTACAGCAGCCGTAATGCTCTGACAATCCATCAACCAAAGTTGTACTAAAACATTTTTTAACAGATTTCTGCAGCCAAAATCAGTTAGAGGTCAGTAAGCACAACCAGAATTCATACATAAGGCACACTCGATTTTTGAGAAAATTAAAGGATTTTAAGTGCGCCTTATAGTGTGGGAAATACGTTATACAGAAGAAAAGAATATATTGCAATATATATCGTTACCGCACGTGCTTCAAATTATATCGCGATATGGATATGAATTCCCACCTTAAAGGCATGTGGTGCCAGTTTGATCATATTTAAAATTGAAGCATTTATTAATAGTAGGTCTCCTTTGAGCAGTTTTCTGAGACTTCATGTTGATGGGTTTTTTTAGGAAGTGATTACTGAAATTAACTATAGAGTCTCTGTAAAGATCAGTAGCACTGGATTCCGCTGTATATAATGATACGTCTGTGAGATGGATGTATAATTTTTTTCACAAATGGTTAAAATTTGTAAAGAAATTCATGAAGTCATTGCTGTTTAAGGTTAAAGGAGTGCCTGGCACAACAGAATTCTTCCTCTTTGTCAAACTGGCTCCATCACTGAAAAGAAACCTGCGGCTGTTATTATTTTCTTTAATCAGTGATGAATAGTAAGATGTCCTAGCTTTAAAATTTACAATAAACATTTTTCTGGGCTAAATGAAGATCTAAATTAGTGAGATGGCATTTCCTCTCCAGGGTACAGGTTATCTGTTATACCACTAACCTGTTCTGGGTTAGCAGGTAGAAATATTACTTTAGTCAGAAATACTGGCTGATGTTGAAAAAGGGGGTAAAGGTACATACCTTTGATATTGATATTGCAAAATGAAACCTTTTCTGTCCTCACTGACGTTGAAGTTATTTCAAATCTTCACTCTGGAACTAATCTTTAGAGCTTTTAGTGTACACGTGTGGGTCAAACAATAACATTTCTGTGGCAAGGGAATTGTTGCTTTTAAACATAGTACGATTAATAAAAATCCTGGATTGTATGTTTGTTTTTTAGTTAATTATGTTAGGGGGCGGGTTTAAATGAGGTGTTTGTAAAGAGCCAGTGGACTTACTGCTTCATGTCTCTGTCTTTGGTCAGGTGTACCTACACCAACGGAGGAGGTTTTGCGCCATACTCTGAACATGCTGGTCCGTGAGCGGAAGATCTACCCGACACCTGATGGATATTTTATCGTAACTCCTCAAACCTATTTCATTACTCCAAGCCTAATCCGAACTAGCTCCAAGTGGTATCACTTGGAAGAGCGTTCTGCTGACCGACACCAACATCAGAACCAGCAGCAGCAGCATCAGCAGACACAGTGCACCTCCCCTCTCTCTGGCACCATAACCCCTTCCACCTCCGGGGGTGTGCGAGAGCGAACACACCCAAAGTCCAACCAGAATCACAGCGGGGGAGGTGGGGATTCTTTTTACAACAACAGTTATCGTGGAGACGACCCCCCTAGCCACCACACCACCCTGCAGCGGCGATCCCCCAAAGACCACCGGGAGGCGTACTCGGTACCTCACTCCCCACAAACACCCCCTCAGCAAGCAGGAGGGAACACTGAAAAGAGCCGCAGTTCACTCGGGTTCCCATTCAAGACGGATACACTAAACAAGCACCGAGGTGGGAGCGCAGCAGGAGGAGGGGTAGCAGGAACTGCAGACATAGAGAAACAAGCTGGAGCTAGTGCTACGGGAAGTCGAAAGTTTGGTTTGAAGTTGTTTCGCTTGAGTTTTAAGAAAGATAAGGCCAAGCAGCTTGCAACCTTCTCTGCACAGTTCCCCCCCGAGGAATGGCCGCTACGGGATGAGGACGTACCCAGCCAGCTGCCACGCCACGTAGAGATGGAGATCATCCGTAGAATCAATCCTGACCTCACAGTGGAGAATCTTGCTCGACACACAGCAGTCATGAAGCGTCTTGAAGAAGAGCGTGCTCAGAGGAGCAAAGCATCGTCGGCCAATCACAGCTCCAGAAGTAGAAGAAGTGGGGGTAGACACAGAAAGCAGTCCCAGACCAAACTTAGCCGCTCGCATAGTAAGACAAGGACTACTCGCTGTGAGCCAAGTGACAGTTCCCATTTAGAGTTGGCCGAAAGGGACTATAGAGGTTACTCATGCTCACTGGCTCGGTCACCAAGGGAACAGGCAGTGGCCATGGAGCGGCAAAGGGCCCGACTCCACCTGGCACACAGCAACCCTAACATTCTTGACTCCTCACACCTGCCCGTTACTCCAGAGTGGGATGTGTCCGGAGAGCTTGCCAAGCGACGCACAGAAATGCCTTTCCCTGAGCCAAGTCACGGCAAATCAGCCCACCATTCTAAGGTCCACCGCTCGCACTCCCACACCCAGGAGAGGAAATCCAGAAATGAACGCAGCGACAAGGCCAAGGAACGTTCCCGATCAATGGACAACTCTAAAGGTCCGCTTGGAGCTGGACTGATTGGACCACCCGATTATTATGATGACCGGAGCCGTTACTATACTGATGATGGCACCCTGCGAGCTAATCAGAGCTCTTCTCACTACTCTCGTGCCACACCCACTTCCACTAAGGTGCCTGGGGATTCCCTGAGATTGGATGGGAGCAGGAACTTGGAGAAGAGTAAGAGCAGGGATAGTCTCCCAGCATATTCACCAAAACCACTGCCTAACTCTGCCTCTCCCGATGATTACTTCCAATGCCCTGGATCCTCTGAGGCTATTCTCACATCAACAGCTCCTCTGGGAACTCTGGGCAAAAACAGCCATGATGGATTAAAACCAGGTAGTATTGACAGGCAGACTGATAGACAGACATCCCATCCACCAGAAAATAGGGAGGACTTAACAAAGGTGGGACCTAAGGGCAGCAGCTTGCCACCAATACCCCTCTCTATCCCTGACCTCCCTCTTTCTAATGGACGACCTGCCCACAGCACCTCTTCTAATCAGGAGAAACGAAAGGAGATCTTTAGTAAAGATACGCTCTTCAAACCTCCACCTAGCCTGCCTTTGCCAGGTTACAGCTCTCTGAGAAAACCCACAGCCCTTGCCTCCTCAAATCTGTCATCATCCTGCGATGCTCTTGATTCCCAAGAAGCCTTCGATGCTCCTAAGCCTCTGTTGGCAACATCATCTGCTCCATCACAAGGGACTGAACCCACATCCAGTGCTGCAGATGCAAACTTTGACTACTACAATGTTTCAGATGATGATGAACTTGAAGACGGAGGCGCGAAAAGTCAAGGAGAGGATGAGAAGCCTGGAGGAAGCATTGCTGTCATGGGAGGAGGTGGAGCAGGAACCATGCAATGGCTGCTGGAAAGAGAGAAAGAGAGGGATCTGCAGAGGAGGTTTGAAAGAACGCTTGCCTTCCCAGGTGTCAAAGAGAACCTTCCGGAGCCCAGTCAGAACCAGCAGTCAGCTCATTCTGCTCGGCTGGACAGTATGGACTCCAGCTCGGTCACTGTTGACAGCGGATTCAATTCCCCACGGTGAGAATATTTATACTGTACACACTACAGCCATAAACACCAACACTGTACATGGGGGGTGGATGCACTTCAGAATAATAAAACCCCAGATTAAGCCTTTGTTCGTCAATCTATATACTTTATAATTTAGTATCTAATTGAGACATTTTACATTTATCAAGTGTAGATAAATGATATCAGTGATATTTAATCTCAAATTACCACGTTCCTGACTTCCATAAGTGGAGGAAAATGTATGGATAGTTTGCAGCAACCTTCTTCATGAGCCCTGTGCTCCACCTAAGCTGTCAGATGCAGAGCTCACACACATGATCCGGGCACGTTCCCAAACAGTTCCTAACAGAAAATCCTATTCTTGTATTCTAAACGTGATTATTCCCCTTTAGTAGGGCTGCTCGATATAACGATGTATATCTGATGACGATATAAAAATGTCCGTCGTTTCATTTCACGCTATCGTTTGTTTCGTGGTGTCGCAAAACAAACTGTTTGCAGCAATATTTTCTCATGGTTCTGATGTCACTGTAGTGGCTGGATTCATTTATTAAAAGTCTCTTTCTCTTATATTTAATATAACCACACTACAGAAGCGCCTGTTTTTATGCGTTGTGGTTAGCAACCACGACGGTAACACCATCGCGTGTCCGCTTGTTTATGTTCCACATAAACCTTTCACAATAAAGCTCAAGATCCTGTTGAGACTTTTCAAAATAAACTGAATCACGTGAAAGAGCAGATTATTTACGGATGAGAAGTAAAAAAGTCGCCAGGTGCTAAAAAATAAACCTTAGACTCAAACGTTAGAACAGGCTTTTCCCCGCAGCACGCCGTGTAATAAATACTCACAAAGGAAATGGCGCCGTTACAACTTGTGTCTAAAAATGTGTCGTTTCATGCATCGTTAAAACACTCGACTCCAGCTACACGACGCACAGCTGGAAACACTTCACGCAAGTCGAGCTGCCCGAGATTCACAGAGTTTACAGAAAATGTTACATTTGTGTGATTTATATCGTTATCGGACGATAGATGTCTTATATCAGGATATGAGGTTTTGGTCATATCGCACAGCCCTACCCTTTAATTCCCTCTAACTGATCTGAAGTGACCTTGAAACACATATGTAAAAGCTGCTCTTATACTGCATTTATCAATTGCATTGTTATTAGATCATCTGGAGTGTGACTCCATAGTGTAGTGGATACCTGCTGGGGATGGATATTCCTTTTGGTTTGTGTTATGGAGGTCATCCAGTGAAAGTCTGACAAATCAAAGGTACAGACCTACTGTGTGTTTGACCTGCTGAGGTATCTAATAAAGTCAGTATGAAATGAATGTCTGACTATAACAGTGTATAAGACATTTTGACACCAGGCTGAATGATGTATATCACAGATCTCAGAGACTGCACGTGTGGTGCTGAGCTGTGGGGCTGCTCGTGTGCATTATGGACTCATTTCCAACTGTGTTAAAGATCCACTACTAATCCACTGGCTCACTTTAAAAACTATCTTGATTGCCTGCATGCATCTTCTGTTATGGTCCCCCCCATGGCACTGAAAGAGAAGTTCCTACAAATAAATATGTAATGAGGTCAACTGCAAAAAATAGCTACGTCCAAGGGCCAGATTTACTAACGCTCTGCACCACAGCAAAACACGCTTTTTACGTTAAAAAGCTTCTGTCAGGCTTTCATAAAGAGGGCCAGTAGTTGTTTGGAACTGAAAGGTGTGGATGCAGTTATTGTGTTGGCTGGCCTCAAGGCACTTTATTTATTTTTAGGAGTTTCCCTTCAGAGAATATTTAAATCAATCATAAAAATGTGATTTGTGTAAGTTTGGGACATTTATATTGTTTCATTGAAACCAAGTCGTGCTCAACTTTAATGAAAAGTTTAAGAGCTGTACAGAGATACATCATTAACATGTTCTTTTATCAACACAGACGCACACAAAGACACACACACACACACACACAGACAGGTCAGCTGTTACACACAGATTTATGATGTTTAAGGTGGAACAGTTTGTAACGGTGCTCCTGAGTTTCAGTGCCAAAGACCTCACATAGTTACCAAACACTTCTAACAGGCGAGTCCAGTTTTATAGTGAAGTGACTTGTTTTCATTTTCCTTAACTGCAACAGTACAGAGTGTAAAACCTCTGCTTACACTGTATTCCTTTTGTTAGCACAGTTACTCCTTCGCACTCTAATGTTTGACACTCACAAGCTGCCCTTGGAGTAAACTGACTACATATTTGTACATGAACCAGCGCACTGTTAGGTCACCAAAGATTTCTTTCACCCTCTTCAGCTTTTGTAAATGCATCATCATGCTAATTTAACTGAGAGCTTACAGCCACAAAGCTGGCACCTCAGCTCTTTGCTAAACCCTGACAGCAGCTTTTTGATACTGCATGCTGATGATACTCACAATGACAGCTTTGACCACTCAGACTTTATTAGGTAAAAAAGGTTGATGTGATAACTGCATTTCATAGGACCGAGGGTTTGATCCTACAGTTACATTATCACTGCTCTTATGGTGGCAGATCTCCATACATTAGTCAACACGATTGACTGTGATACTGTATGAACTGCTTAAAAAGTCATTGAGAGGTGTGAAGTACTGAAGTACTTCTTAATTGTACTTAAGTACAGTTTTCTGGTATCTGTACTTTAGCTGAGTATTTATTTCTCTGACAGCTTTGTACATGGACTCCTTACATTTTGATTTAAGAGGGGAGTTGTGCTTCCTGTCAATGCACTGCTTCAAACATTAAAACCATTAGAGTCTAAACAGTAGCACATGAGAGTCGATCCAAATGATGTATCTGCCACCATGGGGCTATTGCACACACAGAGACGAGAGAGACAAAACGATGTCATTTATGCATCATTTATTACAAGTTAAAAGTGGGCCAGTGGTTTATCTTTTGGTCTTGTCAACACTGGAATTAGTGCGGATGTCCAGAAGCTGTGGTCACGATACTTCAGCATCTAGCTAGCCCGACAGACGAGGAGCGCTCAAAGATGGAGTTCTGATTTTTAAGTTGCGGGTAATTTAAATGCAACGTTTTTATCAGATCAACAAATATCAGCAAGCATACAAACTGTGTGCAGCTTGTTGCTAGTAAAAAGTACAGCTGCTAGATTCCCCAATGAGACAAAAGAACGAGAGCCAACTCAGAGATGGAGAAAGATGAGAAAGAATAGAATAGAATTCAACTTTATTGTCATTGCACATGCACAGGTACAGGGCAACGAAATGCAGTTTGCATCCACCCAGAAGTGCTTTAGTGATATAGATATATTACAATATATATTAGCAATAATATAGATATGTGAGTATATTACAGAAATGGGTCTATTATGTTATAATGTACACGGTATGAAGTATGTTGTGAATATTCTATAACTATAAGTATGTACAGGCTGTAGTGAGTACAAGCTATGTACAGGATATGAACAGGATATAAATATGAAAACTATACAGAATATGAAATAAATAACTTTACAGAATCTGAGATATACAGCTATACAGAAATGGGAACTATGCAAGTTGTAAACAGTTGTAGGATTAAAAATTATCGAATGTACAGAATGATTATTTACACAGAGCTATACAGTAGTGCAGTTAAGATAAGTGAGGGTGTAGATAGTTTCTACAGAGGCTATAAAGTGCTGGTGGTTGTGAGTGGTGGTTCAGTCCATGTTATTATTGTGTGTTTGAGGGTACAGTTGTCCATTGTGGGTGTGTGTATGTTCAGTCCATGTGTTAACGTGGGTCAGATGTCAGGAGGCAGAGTTCAGCAGTCTGACAGCTGTGGGGAAGAAGCTGTTCCGGTACCTGGTGGTCTTAGTCCGGAGGCTCCTGTGGCGCCTCCCAGAGGGCAGGAGGGTGAAGAGTGTGAGGGTGACTGGGGTCTCTGATGATTTTCCCAGCCCTTTTCAGACACCGCTTCCTGTAGACAGGACACGTGCAAGGCTGATAACGCTTTCATTTACCATCTGGTATTAAGACAGCCCGTGAAACATCTGCTTACATCTAGTTGTGTAAATCCACAAAGAGCACGTCGGAGCAGCACCACAGGTCAGCTCACCACAGCCTGTAATATTGGCTGGAGCTCACAACAGCAATGACTCATTTTCCTGTTTAGGTGTGGAGGCCCCGTCTGCAACGTAGCAACAGACAATAGATTTACATATGTGCTACATATGTGAGTAAAGTCAGTACATTCTTACTAGAAAATAAAGTTTGTTTTGACCATAATTACCTCATAGGATGGAATTCAAGACAGAAGGTGATTTATAGGAATTTAATATTTCTTTCATTTCTTAATAACTGCACAACAATTGTTGCCTTCTCACTGAGCTTCTTGTTGATGGTCTGGTCCGTGTGCACCTGGTAGAGCATCAATCACTGTGGACACTAGTGAGCGTAGCATGCTTCCTCGTGTTGGGTAAACATATTTTTTTCTTTAAGTCTTATTTTATTCTTTTTTAAGTAAAATTGCAAACATTTTATAGGAGGAAGCTGAGCACAAGGATTTAGCCTCCATTAGAAAAACAAAATGCTTCCAGCCTCTGAGGAGGGGGTCAGTTTTTTCTGAGCCCATTCAAGTTGAAGGAGCCAACCGTGCCATCCTACTCTGGATCACTGCAAACACAAAGCTTTAGTGAGTCTCCTTTGCCCATCCCAGCCAGCCTGTGGGAGCCTCTACAAGTCATCCTTCAGATCATTCAGGTTGCACAACAAGTCTTTCATTCTGATACTTTGTGTTTGTGCGATATTTATATTTGAGCTCTTTGTATTTTTCACACGGGGCCATGTAGGACTCAATTTTTCCCCTTAATGATAAAAACCTTTATTTAGAAACTGCATTTTGTGTTAACTTGTTATCTTTCTCTAATGTTTAAATTTAAGAAACATTTAAGAAATATTTAAATGTGAAAAACATACAAAAAATAGGAAAGAGGCCAATACCTTTGTAAATGTAACTCTGTGATGTGTTATTTCATTTAGTTTAGTCAGTTACTGTCTGTACTGTGTCGGCTGTCACCACAGGATTCTGATTCTGAGTGATTCTAAAATGAAGAATGAAATTGGTCACAATAATAAATATAATAGTAATAACAATAAAATTAGACAAAAAGCGATGTGCAATAGAAGGTGAGATTTGAGGTAGCTATAGTGTTATATTTGTTTAGCAGATAATAACAGTGACAATAGCAGCTACTATATATACCAATCAAAAGTTTTTCCAGTTTTTTATTGAAAATCATACAGTTTAATGTCTCATTGCACTGAAGTGGAAGCATAGTACAAATAAGAAATTGGAGTAAATAAAAATCGTGAAATCAGTTTATAGACCAAATATATTCTGACTCATCAAAGTCGCCCCCTGTGATACAACAGCTGAACACAGCCGTGGCTTCTTTCTACAACACAAATCAAATCTTCTCCCAAATCTGGAGCAGACGTTCCCATGAATGTGGACCTTGTAGCTGCTTTGCTTTCGCTCTTCTGTCCAGTTCAAACCAGCTCGATGGGTTTAAGTCTGGAGACTGTGCTGGACCTCCATGTTTCCAAGCTCATCGTGTTCTTTGTTCCTGAGGTGGTTCTGCCACAGCTTGGACTGTGTGGGGTCTTTATCCTGCTGTAGGATGAAGCCCTGACCAACTCGGTGCATGTAGGAAGTAACAGCAGCAGCTTTCAAGGCTGATCAGCCTCCGTTGCTGCAGAACAGATTTAAATTGTTAACCCGTGTTGTCCCTGAAAAAGGCCTTTTTGTATAATTGTGAAATGTACATTATTTTACAGTTTTGGTGACCTTACCTTTGTTTAAAACCGCTGGCAGTTCAACACTTACCTTTGTACCATTTCAAGCTGTTCACTGGACTTGAACGACTGCAACAAATAACTGGAAAAACTGGGCTGTTCTCAAACTTTTAACTAGTAGTTTATATACACAAACACATGTGTATGTATATATATGTACAGACACACACACACCAATGTCAGCTTGAAGAACCTTCTCTTATGGTTGTGTTATTTCTAATTGTGTCTCTGTCACTCTGCAGAACGAGAGAGAGCTTAGCATCTAACACCTCTTCAATAGTGGAGAGTAACCGACGGCAGAACCTGGCCTTGAGCCCAGGCCACCTCAACATCACCACTGGAAACGGTCCTCCTTTCTCCTTCCGTGCCATTCCGGAACCTGCTGGCACCCAACCAGAAAAACTCCAGAAGCCCAGTGCCTGCCTTGCGTCAATCACCAGCGTCTAGGGTCAGAACTAAGGGCTGGGCAGAACACAGAGCCAGTGGACTGGTCAGAAAATCAGTCTGCATGCACTGTTACAGTGAAAGCTGACAGACTGACTGGCAGTGCAGCTGTGACAGGTCCTTTGTGATTATACCTGCTAACACACATATGGATGGACAGACAGGAAGTTAGATCCCCAGGAAGCAGCTCGTTCACACAGAACTACACACACCAGGATATTGCACACTGTCATTCTCTAGCCTCTAGTTTACACACTACAGCTTTTGTGTTTTTCATACGTGTGGGTTCGAGTGAGTGAGTGACTGAGCGAGTGACTGAATGCTTGGATAATCTGTAATCTCAGGTTATGTTATTTTCACGCCCATTCAGCTGCTTAAGATTACTTAACCCCCTCCTGTGGTGTCAACTGGTATTACACCCTGAGAACCATCAGTCCTCCTGACCTATAAGGGGCTCCCAGAGTTTCACTAACCAATTCTTACTCATTACTTGTCTCTGTTTGCCCTCAAACAACATTTGCCAATGGCAACACCCTTTAAGGTGCAGTGCCACAGAAAATGGCAATAAAAACCTTTCTCATCACTCCAAAACATAACAACACACGTGAAGTGGTTATAAAGGACAGTTGTTTTGTTTTATACGAGAACATTTCTGTAGAATGTATGGAAGCATTTCTTATGTCTATGGTGCCCATCTGAACTCCCCGACACTGTTGGCGGTTTCTGTGCAGGCAGCAGTTAAACATGGACGGCTGCAGGTCCAGAGATGAGATTGATGATTACAGACTTTTACCTTTTGTTCTTTTTGTTACCCTTCATGTCCATTGGCTACAGTCCATCCAAAAACTGTCTTATTAGTCCAGTGGACATAGAGTCCCTTGTCCAGTCTCATAGAGGAAAAACCCCAATATCAGTGATCAGATTTACATCATAAATCTATACATTACAATACTCTACACCGACAACTACATTTGTGTAGTATATTATGTGTGTAGGTAACATGAAATATTTCTTGGTATCCTGAGTCGCTTTTCTTGTTGAGATTCATTTCATTCAGGTTCTGGACGTATTTATTAGATGAGTTTTAGACGCTGTTGAGGCTCTACAGGCGTTATTACGGCTTATTTCACTGCTCGTCTTTCCTCCTATAATACAGATATCGTCATTCTAGTCACAGTAGCCACCACCAACAATCTGGAGACTATAAGCAGCGCGTTGTTGGAAATACTACCTCGACAAGACAACACAATAAAGGAAAAAACTCTGAACAAGTGAATCAATCAACAAAATTTAGACTCCTCGATGTGAAACGGCTTTAATCAGTGGACATGAGGGGTCAACGTTTACTTGTTTACTAAAATAACCGCCCACGTTCCAGAGACAGGAAGTGCATGAGAGTTCACGTTATAAATCCTTGTGTGAGAACAGCAAAGTCTGTGCTACATGTTAATGTGCCATGTACAACATTGCAGTTGCACTTGTAGTGACTTAGAGTCCAACACAGAATGCAAGCTCTAGCAAACAAAGCATCCAGTCTGGTATACACACACAGAGAAAAAGACGGGGATTTGACATTTTTAGGATTTTTGCACAGCTTTTTCGCCGATTTATATTTTTATCAAGTTTATAAATACTTCAGTTTGTCTTCAGACGGCTTGAATCAAAACCTTGAGCTCTTCACTCCTGGTGCTAAGATGTTTTGTGGTCAGCGAGACTATAATTAAAAATGAAGACAATATGGTGAGATTATAGTATCATACGGCTGCTGTGCTTGCATATCTCTGGCACTGACCATTCTCCCGTTTACTGGCCAGCAGCACAGAGTCCAGACTGACTGGCAGGTGGAGCACCTGACTACGTCACAGTGATGTGTGAACTAAAAGCTACATTTGAAAATTGTTATAAATCATGCTTGAAATTGGGTTCCAGAACCTCTGTAGTGTTTTAGCAGTGATTTCCTCTCATCCCTTTTTCTGTTTCGCTGTTGCCATCCGGTAAGTTTCTCTCTACTTATACCAACTACCTCCATAGAAGCGAAAGACAGTCTGAAACATCACTGTCATTAGCCTCTAGCCTGCGAATGTCTTACAAACACATGTATTCAGTGCTCTCCAAGAGTAGGTTAACGGTACAGTGATATTTCAACCTACCGTCTGTGTATGTACGGCATATTCAACTGACACATGAACAGTGTGGAGTAAAAGCTGCTCGTGTTGGATTCCAGTTGACTTTTAGAGGGCACCATAAATATACTATCACACTACATATCAAAGTGTCGACGTCACCGTTCTTTTCCTTGACTCCATCCAGTGCTGACTTTCAGAAAAGTTCTCATTAAAAAACAATTTCACATCCACATTTCACTTGTTGTGTAACTGACGTCATTTGTTGGTCTTTGCATTTTCCCCTGTATTGTTCTACATCGGGTCCCCTGCAGTTCTTGGGTTGTATCCCTCAGGGATGTTCTGTTCTCTGGAACAGAGTGTTCAATGTTAAGTATTCTAGAATTGTAGCCCTTAGTCAATCATGCCTGAAGGTTTCTACCACTTTTACCAGTTTTAGTCACCTTTTGTCAGTATTCAACAAATCTGCGAAACATCCTTTATCTCTGTAATAAGGTTCTCGTCTCTGCTCTTTCCCTAGAGTAGGTAGTTTTTCTTACTACCTTTACACTAGGATTTTAGTCCCAATTATACTTTCACACATAGGTTGTTTGTGCCATTTGTACCCACGTTGTAAGACTATAGAAAGATGAGAATAAGTCCCGATATCACTGCTCCACCTTCACCTTCAGAGTGAGTCCTGTCCCTGCAGATACAGGATTTCCAGTCTGTATTTTCAAACAAACCTTAGGCTTACTGTCACAGCTAGGTTGAAGGCTCAATAGTAGAAATGAATCTCTGCATCTCTTTTACCACGTTTGAAGGTTTTTAGCTCTTGTTCCACAGCAGCGGGGTCCTTCTTTGTTCCACCAGTGAAACGGGGCTTTGTGTGCCTGCTGGAACACGTGTCTCTCATCTCTAATGTTTGCACTGCTCCCTACCCCGAGCCTCCACATTGTCGCCTGGCCCAGTGGCCTTACATCAACCCTTCTCCAGCACAATCCCTGTTTCTACAGTGACAGTCCATGAAATGTCTTCCCTCAACATTAGCGGTTGTTTTTAAGACTGGAGATTCTCAACAATAACAATGTTTCTAATGGTGACAATATGTCATACCTGTAAATTATGTTCATCTGTTATAACTAGTCAAAACAATTTAAATAATAAAAAGGAGGGATTTTTTAAAAATGTCTATAATATCCAAAAGTCCCTTTGATGTGTCGTACTGGTGTTACTGTTGTTGTAGTGTATGTAATGCCTAATGGGGATTGTGTTACTTTTTATGATAATAAAATAACAATGTTTGGTTACATCGCTGTCTTTTCATTCATTACTGCAGCCTTCTTTAAAGCGATGCTGCCAGACCTGCAGCATAAGAAGGGCTCCTGCAGATGAAACGGCTGCATGTGTGTGATCTGCCACTCGAGTGATTTTACTGCTTGATACATTTTAAAAACATTTCTTATGATATTCAGTGTGGATGAAACAAATACGTGTCATTAGTCTGCATCATATCTTTGGTTTCCATGAATATGTTGTTGTTTTGCCTCCACCAGCAAACACCAATATGTAACCGAAGCTTTAATTCAAAGGGTTCAACAAAGAATTGCAGTATTGCATCCTGTCTCAGAGTGATGCTGAAAAACGAGTTCATGCATTTGTTACTTTTTGGCTGGACTATCCTCCACTAGCTATGCTTCTGTCGGTCTAGGCTGATGCACTGCTCGACAGCAGTGGGCCACAGAGCTGATGTGTCCTGGAGCCACCTTCTCTTTTCCTTAATCTGCATACATTGTGCTGTCCTGTGTGGTGCAGGCCCGGGTCCTCCCTGCCGGCCTGGTACTCTGTCTCTTCGCCCCGCTCTCTGGGTTGGGATGGGTGCCGCTCTGTTCCAGGACAGTGGGACTCAGGTAGGCTCCTTTGAGGATGGCTGTCTTGCACCTTTGGGAGTGGGCGTGGCACCTGGGTTGCGTTGGCCAGTGCTCTGCTTGGGTTTCAGGTCTGTTCGGTGTCCCTCAGCTTCTGCGGTGTGGTGGGCCCTTCTGGTTGACTTATACTAGATCTCTGTGGGGGCTTTAAACATCTGTGCAGTGCAGGTTTCTTCTTACTCTTTGCTATCAGCTGTGACCAGTCTGGAGCTTCTTGGTTTTACTGATGATTTCGGTGAGCGTTGTGGGGGTGCACCTGTTCTTACAACACAAGTTACCGTACTACCTGGTGTTATCTAGACAAGTGTCCTCACCTTTGTGTGAATTTTTGGTCTCCAGCCTCAGGGTGCACTTTTAGGGGTGTGCACGTACACACAGACACAAAGAGGTTGGGGGGGGAGGCTAATGATGTTTCAAAATAATATTGATTGTCAGATGCCTCAACATATAAACGATAGTAACATGTGAGCCATTTAGGCTGTGGCTGGCAGTAACTTAAGAACCAATGCCTCTCCACTGAAATGAATGAAGGAGGGGAGAACTGAATAAACTTCTCTGGGAGGAGCAGAATACGTCATCTTTTCATGACGCAAAACAAGACAAAGTTAAATTCAACAATAAGTCCTATAAAGTCTTATGAGCCGCGGAGTAAAGTTAAGGGTTTCAAATGTGAGCGATATGATTTTGAGCCTGAAGTCCATAAATGAAATGCTTCTTGAATGTGCTCGAGAACAACATGCATGGCTGTGGATGATCTTTAGGCGGATACTGACGGGCGACCACCGCGCATGTTTAATGTTCTCGTGCAGCCCCTCATAGGCTGACTGACGAGGCTCATAGTTACCTCTGGATAGTGACAGGCGGAAGGAGAAGTAGTTCCTATCAACTAGGTGCTATGTTGGTGAAATCATGATGGTGGAGTATTTATTTTCATGTTAATATAAAATACACATTTGCCCCGTCTATGAATCTTTCTCTGCACGAATGCTGTTATCGGAAGTCGATGATCAGTGATCGGCACAGCCAACAGGTTCGCATCGAGTGCGCACTGAGAAACCTTTGGTAGCTGCTGCTGCTGCGGCACAGGAGCAAACTCCCTCTGCCATAAAGTTTTAGACAGAGAAGCAGATCATGCGTTAATGTCATGTCCAGCAGAAAGACTCCTGCGTTCTGCCCTCGGACCGTCCTGCTGCTGCTGCTGCTGTTTGACGCAGGACAGCTGGGTGTCGAGGCGCACCCGTTACTCGTGTTCTTGATCGATGGATTCCGCTACGACTACATGGATGACCTGCACCATTTACCCGGATTTCGTGAGCTTGTGGAAAATGGTGTGAAGGTTGACCACTTAACGCCGGACTTCCCAAGCTTGTCATACCCTAATTATTATTCCTTGATGACAGGTAATCCGTCTCTTTATGCGTCTCTGTAGCTTCTAACACAATAACTGATATTGTAAGAAGACATTAGGTGTAACTCCCAGCTGATCAAACAAATACGTTTGATTTAATGAGCTGGGGAAATGTTTTAGGCCCTAAACAACCAGATCTAATTACCCGGACATGTAAAACATGTAAAACATGTAAAACCCAAGAACATAAAAGTTACACTAGAGGCGCCCTGAGAGGCCTTTTAATTATACATAAAAGCGCATTAACTCTGAGGCCGTGAGAGGACAACAAAAAACACATAAATAGAAAAAGTAGGTGATTAAAATCCAGCCGTCTACACGACACATTAGTCATTAGAGTCCGTGTGCGATTTGCACATTCCTGTGTTGTCCAGCAGTGTAATGGCGGCTGGGATAGTTTCAAGCCTTGCATCCTAAGTCATCTTCCTGACGGATCAGTTTGTGTTCAGAGTTTCAGCTGGGACTGCCTGCTCACAGACGGGGAAGCTCTCACTTTCTCCAAAGCTGTTTGGATGCTTCTTTTTACGCTGCTGGTAATGCTTAACTGATAATAAGAGACTTCTCTGTAATCTCTGACTGCCTAGTTAAACATTAGCTTTATACTGTCTAAATAATTTAAAAAGAAAGTCTGTCTGCAGTTAGTTTAATTGTATAATATGTGATAATTGAAGTGAACTATCTGAACATGGCACATCAAAAGGCTTCTATCCACACAGAGGAGATTTAAACATCACAATACTGATGAGTTTGGGTTGTGCTGTATAAGAGAACAGCAAATATTCAGGGATACACACAGAACAAAGTTTATGACCAATACTGATACTATAAATGTGCAAATCTGCCAGCAGTCTTTTGATTTTTTTATACAAAATAGAAAAAAATACTTTGGAGATATGTCTCTATGCGTTTTGCGTACCTTAAAGTAACACGCAAATATAAATTGTTAAAGCATAAATATTTGTTTGCCCATAAATAATTTTTACTCAAAAAAAATCTACTTTTGTTTGCCAATAAATTATTTGAATTTGTTACAATAATTACGAGAGTATAACAGAAGAAAAATGTGATACAAAATTACAAGACAATTTATGTAGCGCACAATATTGTAAGATTAAAACGCTACAATAACCTGATACAAAGAAACCCCAACAATCAGACAGCTGAGCACTTTAGCGACAGTGCTAAAGGTGTGAAGGAGAAACCCTCAGTGCATCATGGGAAACCCTAGCTGTGCCCTGTGTGAAAGGGGCTGTAATAAAAGGACGCGGCGTGCGCTCTGAAACCCATTCGTTTCTATTGCCACGCAATAAAGGTTCCTGTTGTGCTGAGCCGAGCACAGCGTAACCAGGAGTACTTGCACATGTTCAAACCGGCTGACCTTTGACCGCTGTGCATTGCAACGTACCTTCAACAGAAACAAAGCCTACAGCTGTGCAAAGTTCAACCACATGATAAAGGAAACCACTCTGTGCGTATCCGAGTCATGTGACCTTTTTGACAGAAGTTTACGTGCATATAAAGGGACCTCCATTACAACAGCTCTGCAGACCTCAGGGGTGTGGAAATGTCACACTCTTCACTAGTGGGGATAGTTACAAAGCTTTCTTCTTCATGAATGAGCTGTACAGGTTTTTTTAATTACACATCTGGACACAATAAAACACAAATTCTCATAGAAGATGTAAAGTCATATCAGTACACTTAGAGCGGCCGCACAAAATGACGTACAAGCGGAGCACAGCCGCCAGTGCAACACGAATTTGGGGTCCTGCGCTCCAGCTAGAGGTGAGTGCAGCGCACGCCGCATCTGATGTGAAAGGGTCTTTACTCTATTGCAGCATAACTAAGGCTGGATTCTGAGTCTCTGAGGTTTATCAAAAAGGAAAGTTTGAAGCCTGATCTTGAAAGTAGAGATAGTGTCTGTCTCCTGAATCCAAACTGGAAGCTGGTTCCACAGAAGAGGGGCCTGAAAACTGAAGGCTCTGCCTCCCATTCTACTTTTAAATACTCTAGGAACAACAAGTAGGCCTGCAGAGCGAGAGCGAAGTGCTCTAATAGGGTGATATGGTACTACAAGGTCATTAAGATAAGATGGGGCCTGATTATTTAAGACCTTGTATGTGAGGAGCAGGATTTTGAATTCTGGATTTAACAGGAAGCCAAAACAGGAGAAATCTGCTCTCTCTCTCTAGTCCAGTCCCACACTGCACAGAGCAGGAGGTATGAAGTGCAGCAAACAAACCCTCAAGATGTGCTTATAATAACAATTTTATAGACAGTGATACTATTTATAGTGGGGGGGAGAGTGGGGGTCGTGAAATGTTTTCTTCTTCCTGAGGGGGGCGTAACAGAAAACAATTGAGAAGCAGTGCCCTGAGTCAAGCTGAGAAAGGGAGATCAACGTGGTTGCTAAGAGTTGCAGCTAACCAGCTAACAGCAGCTGGAGCTTTGGGAGCTGGAAGCAGATCTCGCGTGAATGGCCCGCAGTTGACCATCGATCACCAAGCGACGACTTGCCAACTGTCCGCACGAAACCAAATATGGATGTCGACTAACAGAGCTCTCGTCGTGGCCCCCAAAGCCCCACTGATGATGAGGATGATGAAGATGATGATGAAGAAACATCTCTTGACTTGAGCCATCACTCACTAACTGCAGCAGAAACCTTCATCCGTGCCCTTGTCACCACCTGGCTTGATAACTATAATGGAGCAGCTCCAGTATGTCCAGAGCTCCTCCAGGCTTCTATGAGCCACTAAGCTCTGGAAACATCATCGCCACCCTCAGAAATCTCCACTATCTCCTGCTCAAGTCCTGCATTACTTCCAAATCCCTCAATGCCCTGGCCCCTCAGTACCTCTGCTGCACCCATACACACAGTCTGGGTTGCTGCATCCTCAGCTATGGGTCTGCTTTCTGTCCCACACGCCCACCTCCACCCCTGTGTGGCGGCCCCTCACCCTCACACGAGCCC